ATCCTGAAAAATATTTGGGGGTGCTTAACTTTTTTCCAGGGGTATATATACACGTATTTATGGAGTGGACCAGTTGCACCTGAAAGGACCAGATAGAAGTTTTGTAAAAGACCGATTAGAAATTTTGCGAATTTCGGACCCTCGTTATGAGAGACTAAATTTTGTAACGATAAACATGTGAGTACTTTATCTAAATATAACTTGATTTGTTTGTAGTAAAGCACATATCTATACAATGGGTTATCTGTGCTCTATCCACCACGGGAATCGAAACCCTGTTTCTAGCGTTGTAAGTCCACAGACTTTCCGCTGTGACACAGGGGAGGTTTATATAAATTGAATTTGGTAATAAATAAAAAACTACCTCGACCATCGTTTCACCATTATGACTTCAGCAAGACTAGTAGTACAAAAACTATTTGGAGGTTTGTTCAACTACTGTTGTGGGCTGAGTCACTTCAATTATATCCAATCACTTTATGATACAAATCCATAACAACCAATCAGGCTTTGACAAACAGCTCTGATACAGCTCTTGACACTCACTTACAGAACAGTAGCGTCAGAAATAGGACGTGAAATATTAGAATTTTAACGGTTTTTAATTATTCTTTTTTTACATTGGTTTGCGCTTAAAAAAAACAGACAAGTTTCTTTGATCTAACAAACCGATCGAAACATGTCAAAAAGAAAATACAGCTGCTCATATAAGGAATGTTATATAGCATAATATTCAGTTCTTAAAAAAATTGAGCAAAGGAAATGAGCATGTGTTTTGTTCAGTTTATTGAATAAACATTTCCATTAGACACAGTGATGCTGAATAGTTTGTTGTACACATATTTCCATTAGGCACTGTGGTGCTGAATAGTTTGTTGTACACATATTTCCATTAGGCATAAGGGTGCTGGAGAATTTGTTCTACACATTCCCATCATGCACAGTGGTGCTGGAGAGTTTGTTGTACACATATTTCCATTAGACACAGTGATGCTGAATAGTTTGTTGTACACATATTTCCATTAGGCATAAGGGTGCTGGAGAATTTGTTCTACACATTCCCATCATGCACAGTGGTGCTGGAGAGTTTGTTGTACACATATTTCCGTTAGGCATAAGGGTGCTGGAGAATTGTTTTATATATATTTCCATTAAACACAGTGGTGCTGGAGAGTTTGTTGTACACATATTTCCGTTAGGCATAAGGGTGCTGGAGAATTTGTTCTACACATTCCCATCATGCACAGTGGTGCTGGAGAGTTTGTTGTACACATATTTCCGTTAGGCATAAGGGTGCTGGAGAATTTGTTCTACACATATTCCCATCATGCACAGTGGTGCTGGAGAGTTTGTTGTACATATCCAGCACAAGGGTGCTGGAGAGTTTGTTGTACACATATTTCCGTTAGGCATAAGGGTTCTGGAGAATTTGTTCTACACATATTCCCATCATGCACAGTGGTGCTGGAGAGTTTGTTGTACATATCCAGCACAAGGGTGCTGGAGAGTTTGTTGTACACATATTTCCGTTAGGCATAAGGGTGCTGGAGAATTTGTTCTACACATTCCCATCATGCACAGTGGTGCTGGAGAGTTTGTTGCACATATCTTTCCATCAGGCACAGGTGTTCTGGAGAGTTTGTACACATATTTCCATTAGGCACAAGGGTGCTGGAAAGTTTGTTGTAAACATATTTCCATTAGGCATAAAGGTGTTGGAAACTGTAAATCTCACGTTGAAAGTGCGGGACAGACGCAGATTGCGACTGCGATTCAGCGTTCAAAATGCGAGACACACGCAGATAACGACTGTGATTGAGAATAAATGGCTAATTCAGTTAATTTTCGGAACTTTCTCATATAATCCTGCTCGGAGGACGAACGAAACAGAAATGCTTTTAACTGGCTTTCTAGTTGAGAACAGCTTGTCTTTAGAAGCCGCAAATCCATGCAGGCCCGCGGTTTAGAAGGTTGTTCAGAGAGAGAAGTGTTGCTAAACAATGTGCGTGTCCATGACTACAGCTATAATTAACAATTACACTACGGTGTACCAATGCAATTATCGAACTTGTTAGAAGGGAATCCTTCAAACTATACCTTGATGGAGGCAACGAAGTATCTGGAGACAAACTGTATCTGTTGCTACTTCGCTGTTTTGCCCCTTCATCAGAAGAATGCAATTTTTTAAGATGGTCAATGACTTTTTTTTTAAAGAAAATAATTTTTTTGGAAAAGATGTGCTGAGTTCCCGATGTGAACGTGAATAGAATAACAGAGCTCAAGAAACTATATTCTAATAAAAATCAGAATTGGTATCTAAAGGGTTGTCTATATCACTTGATTATCTGTTATTTTCTAACTACTATTCACAAAGCTAAAAGAGAATGTCACAGCTAAAGGAGTTGTGAATTCTCTCAAATTCAAAACGATAAATATATTAGGCTTATTATACCTTTTAACACTGTATTCCTTATCTAGTCCTTTAGGGATTTCCAAGAATCAGAATTGTATATAATAGCAGTTCCACCACACTGTGGTCCCCATATCCATTGTTCATGACTATGTAAAGGGACACTCTTCTTGCCATATTTGATTTTTTTTATGTAACCTGTTTAAGGAGATAAACTTTTACGTATCGTTGACTCTTATTTCTCTCCCTTCTGTGACACAATTAGAGGGATAACAATAAAAATACAGGATTGCTAGTCTCTTTAAACAGGCTACATAAAAAAAACAAAAAAAAAAAGACGAACTTTCCATAATTCGTTAGGCGACTTGACTGGTATATCTTCCTAGGGAATAGCATGAATACCAGTTTCATGCTCCAGCTGCTCGAGAGATGCGACATTTGATTGGAAGTATGACTAAAAGACTTATATTGGTGAACCTATATAACTTGTTGGCCTCGTTTCCAAGCAGAAATTCTTCTTGATCATGCTCTGTACTGTTGCCTGGAGCACGTGGACTGCTTTTGCCACTGATCTTTGTAATCTTAGATACCGACCTGTTACAAGGCGCCACACTTTGTTCACCACGACTCGAGTGCGACTTGTTGCAGGTCTCTTTCTTGATGGTCCATATTCCTGTGTTTTTCTATGCTATTAAAGACAAAGGATAATTCCTTCTTGAAAATTCCAAATACCCAATATAAACACATCCTTATGATATCAATGTACGAATGTTTTGCGTCGGAAAGAGTAGTTATATGCCCTTCCAACAAACGACCAATTTTTGGAGGTATCATACTATCTAAGAAATGCCAACCAACGTCAAAATGTAGTTCCGATGTATTCTGTTCTGCCACAAATTGGACTGTGGTTGCTATGCGACTCGCTGATTTGTACATTCGAGATAGCTTTAATGTAACATATTGAACCCTCTTTATGCGGTTGATACCTGTTGTCACTTGAGTCTTTATGCGGTTGATATCTGTTGTCACTTGAGTCTTTATGCGGTTGATACCTGTTGTCACTTGAGTCTTTATGCGGTTGATACCTGTTGTCACTTGAGTCTTTATGCGGTTTGTACCTTTTGTCACTTGAGTCTTTATGCGGTTGATATCTGTTGTCACTTGAGTCTTTATGCGGTTGATACCTGTTGTCACTTGAGCAACAAAGTGGGAAACCAGTTTTAGTTACAGTTGTTTATGGCATACAGTTCTTTTAGTGATTATAGGTCATAAAGATACATTTTTTTAGGCGTTCTTCTTCCATATTCCAAACATACTGTACTGTTACACAGTGACGCTTAAAGTTTTGATACACCTAGACCCATTCGGAAGTAAGTACCGACCACACGCTCCGTGGACAGGACATAGTTTCAACCAAGAGCTATAAAATTTAGGGGGGTGGGGGGGGGAAAGCAGAATCGAGAACAACAGTTTATTAGCGATAGCAAAGAGGTGAATGAGACGCGTGAACTAAAACAGTTGAAGCTTTATTTCTTTAACACAGTATACTCCCATAATCATATTAACATTAGGTTATACTGAAAATCTTTATGGTCTTTGAACCAAGTGAACAAAGCAACCACGACATGACATTGGCACGTGACAGACATCGGCACGTGACAGAAGATATAAACTCGACTGATATACATGTTTATTAATAAACTGTTTCATAAGAACTTTCATTCAATCCAAAATCCGATTGAAATCCGATATTAATACATTAAAAAAAAAGGTGTATGAAAGATCAAAAACAAAAAACTGTGAAACAAAAACAACACAAATCTTGTTCTAGTAACTAGGTAAATTTTGACTGTCCGTTTGTGTTTCAATTAGAATACGTTAAATCGACGAAGTTAAAACTTTTCTATTTATATCATAGTACAAATGTTTATTCAGAGATATCTTATTATTTGTGTCTACTTAACAGTTAATTCACACTACATTACATAGATTTATCTAAAATAAAAACTAAAGTCGCCATCTTTTATTCCAATTTATGTGGCGACACGCATATTGGGGCCGGGCAGCAAGATGGATAATGTCCTTCTCCAGGCACCAGCTTGCAGTTTGGATTGTCGACACTAATAGCGCCGCACCTATAAAATACATAAAACATGCGTTTCTTAATTAAAGTGTGCCATGAGAAATTCTTTTCCAAATCTAATGATAAGAGATTTACTTTTCTTGCAATCTTCATTGTTTTATTAACTAACTTTAGTGTGTCCATCGTCGGGAATAGAAACCCAGATTTTAGGGTTGAAAGCCCATATGAAACATTAATTAAGTTGTTTGTTTTTTTATTGTTTTTCGTAATATAATATCAACCACTTCTTTCCTCTCGTCGCAATGTTAATGTAAAGTTCAAATAATAATTAACGTATAAATAAAGAAAAAAATATATGTTACGGAAAACTTTGTTTGTTTGTTTCCTAGTTCAAATAAATATAATTTTAGTATGGTAGTTCTTTTGCTGGCGGGTTATTATGAATTATCAGGTTAAAAGTTATAACGTTTCTATGAATTTCACCACTGCCTTACATTTGCTGTAGGCCTATGTTACAAATGCCGCTAACTAGCATAAAACTGTGCAAAATAACCGCGATCGTTAGTTAAACACACTGACTGATTCAACTATCTTGAAAATAACCACACAATTCATAGCTCTCGTATTTATAATCTAGCTTCGAATATACAAGAAACAAAGTAGACATATCCTTAGCCAGGTGGTTAGGGCGCTCGACTCGCAATCGTTTGAATCCCCCGTCACACCAAACATGCTCGCCCTTTCAGCCGTGGGGGCATTATAAAGTGACGGTCAATTCCACTATTCGTTGGTAAAAGAGTAGACCAAGAGTTGGCGGTAGGTGGTGATGACTAGCTGCCTTTCCTCTAGTCTTAAACTGCTAAATTAAAGACGGCTAGCGCAGATAGCCCTCGTGTAGCTTTGCGCGAAATTCAAAAAACAAACAAACATATCCTTAGAACTTCCTAGGCGTTCTACGCCACTTTAGCGGACAAATTACACCATTAAAAATATAGCTTACGACAGCATCTACAAAAGATGAAACATCGATACACAATATAATTGTTACATTAAGTTTAGGACAGACTGTTAGTTTGAAATAATAGTGAAATGGGAGAAGCACTCAAACTGTATACATGTTATTTTTAAAAAGAAATTTTCAAAATGTAAAGAATAAAATATGGTTACCCTGCTCCATAAATAAATGCTTCAGCTCCATTCGCATCACAGTCTAAACGTTCACATCTGCTGTCATTATATATGACGCCTTGGTTGTCAATCTGGCCAAAATCAGAATCATAACACCCATCTGTGGAAATCAAGATGCTCGTGATCAACAAAAGGTCAGCTCTAAGCCTTTAATCAACAAAATATCACCTCTAAGCCTTTAATCAACAAAAGGTCAGCTCTAAGCCTTTAATCAACAAAAGGTCATCTCTAAGCCTTTAATCAACAAAAAGTCACCTCTAAGCCTTTAATCAACAAAAGGTCAGCTCTAAGCCTTTAATCAACAAAAAGTCACCTCTAAGCCTTTAATCAACAAAAGGTCATCTCTAAGCCTTTAATCAACAAAAGGTCACCTCTAAGCCCTTAATCAACAAAAGGTCATCTCTAAGTCTTTAATCAACAAAAGATCATCTCTAAGCCTTTAATCAACAAAAGGTCATCTCTAAGTCTTTCATCAACAAAAGATCACCTCTAAGCCTTTAATCAACAAAAAGTCATCTCTAAGTCTTTAATCAACAAAAGATCACCTCTAAGCCTTTAATCAACAAAGATCACCTCTAAGCCCTAATACAACAAAAGATCATCTCTAACGCCTTTAACTTACAAA